GTGCAGAAATTGTGCTTTAGTAAAGACTGAATTTTCACTGTTTTCAAAATCTATGTTTGTGTCTGTTAAATTTTTTCTCAAGTAGTTGTTTATTTTTCACAGATTGCTTTGTGGTATCTCAATTGTTTCAACTTTAGTTGAACTGTATATAAAAGCTACATTGCATTGTTATTGAAAAAAAACTAAAATGCAGAAATAATTGAATTGGAACACATCTTTGAATAAAAAAGTGTTTGTATTGATTTGATTCATTTATTTAACAGGAAAAGATTATTAAAAATCAAGCCTGACTCAGCATAATTGCTGTATAATTTGCAATATGTCTCCAGAAAAAAAAACATAAAGTATATTAAATTTGCTTAGAAAATGGGAAATAAGAAAATAAAATAAATAGGTAAGTCAATAAATATCAGAGAAAAGAAACATAAACACAACCCCAATTCCAATTAAGTAGGCACATTGTGTAAAATATAAATAAAACCAGAATAACATGATTTGCATATTCCTTTCAACCTATATATTTAATTGAATACATAACTCAGGTGTATTTTAAAATGTTCTTAAACATACCTTTTCCTATATAAGTACCAGAGGTGTAGTCAAGACCGGCTGTTCTGAGACCAAGACCAAAACCGGACCCCTCAAGACCAAGACCAGACCTTCCAAGACCAAGACCGAAGCCGTATTTCAGGACTTTTTTTGTTGTTTTTTTACACCACAAAGTGCAAAACCTAATGGAATTAACCAACCAAAACTGTTTCTTGCTATTAAACTAATAACTGTGGAAATAAACTAATAGTACAGTTATTAAATGCAGATTTACATTGATATACATTCTCTAAATGGAATTCATCATCGTATTTTCCACAATTGTATGAAAAATAAAAAACAGAGAGTGTAATAAAGATTTCCCATATTTAAAAATGACAAAAACTTAATCAATCAAGWTTTTTTATATAGCACATTTCAGCAACAAGGCCATTCAAAGTGCTTTACATCAGAAGAAAAACACAAAACTACAAAGTTGCACACAGTTAACAATTGAAGCATTACAGTTTGTCAGGTGTCATTGTTACACTTCAACATGTTTATTAATGTTTCATTTACTAATGTTTCATAAGCAACTCTAAACAAGTGGGTTTTTCCAGTCATGATTTAAGGATCAGAGTTTCGACTGTTTTACAGTTTTCTGGGAACTTGTTCCAGATTTGCGGTTCATAAAATCTGAATGCTGCTTCTCCATGTTTGGTTCTGGTTCTGGGGATGCAGAGCAGACCAGAACTTATCAACTTGGGACTGTTATGGTGGGTGTGGCACTTTAAGTTTTGTTATTTGCTACCACAGCAGCATTTTGTTTTGCAATTTGTGAATAAAATCATAAGTTTGGATTATAATTCAATAAAGTCCAAAGTTGTGGATGATAACAAAATTCTGCATGAGCCGTGCTTGATGCAACCTATTCCATGTTCAGTCAAGCTGCAAGTCCAGATCTGCAATTCTAGTTGCTCTTTGTGTTATTACAATTATCAATGTTTCATCAGTTGGAAAACTGATTTTACAACAGCAAAAACATAATTGAAGCATAACTTACGGAGACCGCCAGGGGTCACTGGGGGATTTTTTTTCCCTTTTGCGTTCCCACGCAATACCTTTGCGTTCCCTCGCAATGCTTTTGCGTTCCCACGCAAAAAGTTGTTTTCAATCAATCAATCAATCTCTTTATTTAGACACAATTATGGTCCATAAAAACAGACAAAACAAGAACAATAAAAAAGAAGAAAAATAAAAAATATATAATGAAATAATCAATCACTGACATATAAACTAAAGCGCCAATGGTTCCACAAACTGGAGAAGAATCTCACTGAGCTTTGAACAGGATTGGTCAAAGTCTGAATGATGCTGTTTGCAGAGTCTGTTAATCTACACATACATCTGTGCATAATGTTTGGAAGCACAACAGCACAGGTTGGTACATTGACATTCACAAACATCTGACTGGCACTACACCATCGGGGCACCCTAAGCAGCATCCTCATGCCATCATTATAAGCGACCTGAAGTTTATTCATACTGCTTTTCCTGTAACGCCGCCACCGGCGGGCTGTATACATTGGGGTACAGTATGCTTTAAAAAGTGCAGTTTTGACAGGTGTTGAACACATGGAGAACTTCTGAAGGAGAATATTAGCTTGTACATATTGAGTACAATGCTGCCTGTAAATGTCTCTATCATCAGACAGGTCAGCGGTGATGTAATGTCCCAAATATTTGACCTCATCMRTGACCTGGAGGATGCTGCCAGACAGAGTGAAGTCAGGAAAAGATAATTTAGTGTCTTCTTTGCTCTTAACAATCATGATGTTGCTCTTTTTTGCATTGTATTTAATGTCATGCTATGACCCATACTGAGAGCAAACCCTTAACAGTTGCTGCAGACCAGCACTATATGGACAGAATATCACAAGATCGTCAGCATACATCAAGTGGTTGATGGTTCGATTACCAACCCGACAGCCAGTTCTACATTGATTCAGCAGCTTAGATAAATCATCCATATACAGGTTAAAAAGGCAAGGAGATAAAATGCTGCCTTGTCGCACACCATTACCCACATWAAAAGATGATGATACAGAGTTTCCCCRTTTTACAGACATATTCTGGTGAGCATATTTCGGAACTCCTCTCTCATGCAATTTATGAAACAATTTGTCATGATTAACATGATCAAATGCTTTTGATGCATCTATAAAACACATAAAAAATTGTGGTATTATGTCTCTTGTATAAATCTAAAATTTCCTTGGGAGCAAAAATGCCAAGTTTTGGTTTAAAACCAAACTGATTATCAGATGTCGCTATAAACGTCTCAGTTCTGCTTAACAGAGCCTTCTCCAAAACTTTCGATAAGGTACTGGCCAGAGCTATGGACCGATAGTTGTCTTTGCTATTTATTTTACCAGCCTTATCTTTTACAATAGGTACTAAAATCACAATTTTGTATACGAACTGAATTAAATCAGACTTTTATTTTGAAATATCCGGTTACCAAAACAGGATGTGTCGCCACAAGTTTGTGAAATTGACATTGTTGTTGCGTGCTGTACTTCCATGCGTGGCTGTGTGATATATTCATTCTGAAGCTGAATTAAAGCAGTATGCTAACTCACTAATGGTGAACATGTGAGTTTGCTAATTAACCGGCAGGGACAACAGTGAAAAACTACTTTTGCAAGGGAGCGCAAAAGGTATTGCGAGGCAACGCAAAGGTATTGCAAGGTAACGCAATACTTTTGCGTGGGAATGCAAAAGAAAAAAAATCTCCCATGTCCCCTCGCG